CCGTGCTGCCGTTCCCTGTGTGACCCTGGTTGGTTGGTTTGTCTGTGCTCGTCCAGCCACAGCAGCAGGGGTCAGATAAAACTGACTTCAGGTCAGCTCCGGGCTTTCATTCCAATGTTATTTCTAAATTATCTGCCTGATAAGCATTTGATTGGTAATTAATCTGCTGCTAATTCATTATCCTGACCCGGGGTCAGATATGAGCGTCAGTAAGAACCAGAGAGCAGGTAAAGGTAAAGGTTGTTTTTGTTTCAGGTCGAACGCCGACTTATTCAGTCATTTCATTGGTTTTACTCTTTACACTTTTCTTTAAAATTTTATTCTGACTTGAGGTGAGAATTAAAATCTGTTTTAATTTAGTCTGGTAAGATTCAAACACCTCTCAGTGACGTGATGACTCTAACTGACACTTATGGTCAGTGTCAGTTGTGTGTTTTTAAAATGCAAAATAAATCCATTGTGCTACTATGTAGATAATAATAAATTTAAAATACTGGTTTTTGTCATTTAATCTGCAATAAATAATTATTTTTATTCATCTGGTTCTTTAATTTTTTTTGTCTTGTTTATTTTAAAACAGCAGAGTTAATAATAGTTGGCATAAATATAATACATTTTAACTAAATTATTCTTGTTTGCTAATGATAATAATAATAAACCGTATTGTATGGAAAAGTTGTGTAAAAACACAACGTATTTGTGTGAGAGGTCAAAGTACATATTACCATTTCTTTTTAAATATTTTTGGACAATGTTCAAATATATTTTTACAAACTTAAAGTAGGTTACGTTGACATTTCTTTGGATTATTTTTTTTTACTAAAAATCCCAGATTATTTACAGTTTGTTCAATAAAATCAGCGTAAATCATCTGTTTCCTGGAAAGTGAAGAAGAAGAAGAAGATTTGTGTCTGTAATGCTGGACAACCAGCATGAACTACAGACACACACACTGCTGTCTGTCTGTGGATTTCATTTTAAACCTGAACCAACCTTTACAAACAAAAAGATAAAAATATATATTCTTTTCAGACTAATTTCACTCCAGAGATGCAGAATTAAGGTGCAAAAACTTCAGCCAACTTTCCAACATTTTTGAGTGCATTTCTAAACTCCTTCATTCACAGACAGTTGAATATATTTATTAATTTTGACATTTCTTATATATATAATAGAATATATTTATTAATTTTGACATTTCTCACCTGATCAGTCTCATCGTAACTAAAGTTGGATTTACGGTCTTAAATATAATGTTAGAAACCGTCCGGTCCTACCTGTCTGGTTACGGGCCACCTGCTGGGTGTCCATACAGTTGGTGACGTAGGGTGGGTTACTGAACATCCTGCTGGGGGGCTGGTGGTGATGTGCAGCTGTCACAGGCTGAGGCTGGGAGGGGGCCGGCGGCGGAGGGGCCCCAAACGCCGCCCCGTACCTGCAGGCGCCCGTGCCCGTGAACTGACCCGAGAAGTGAACTGTGAAGGCGCTGAGGCCGCAGTGAGGGTCGGTGTCGTGGTGCAGGGGGTCGCCCGTGGCCCCCCAGGTGGGCTCCTGCTTGATGAAGGAGTGGGAGCCCATGGAGGCGTGAGGGGCCAGAGAGGAGTAAGGGGAAACGGCGGTGTGAAAGTCCAGGACGGGAGCCCACTGAGGGGCCGTGCTGACGGGCAGAGCCGGGCAGCTGGGGCTGGGGCACGGAGGGAGCGGGGTCAGCAGGGAGTTCAGGTCACGGGTCAGGGTGAGGTCACGGACGTCTGAATTCATGGTGGACCTGAGGTGGAGAGAGGAGAGAAGGTGGGCTGTTTTCAAATCTGATCTGGACCTCCTTCCTGTTTGGGCGTGTGAGTGACCCGGCAGCCTTAAATCCTCCACCGTCTGACGAGTGTCTTCTCCTCACTCCGAGGATCGCTCCTGGTTTACAACTCACTCTGGGGAGTTTGGGGAAAAAAAAAAACCTGAAGTTTAGCCGACGGAGGATTGTGGTGACGCAGCTAACTTTCTTCAGTCACGAGCAGAAAAGAAGAAGAAGAAGAAGAAGAGACGGTGGACGTGGTCAGCTGATCTTCTGGTTTCTGCCCACAGCAGCAGGAGAAGAACGATGTGGAGCCCATTGACGGAGGAGGAGGAGGAGAAAGGTTTCTGCTCTGAGCTTTCTCTGAATGAGGCAGAGGAGAGAGTAGTGGAGGAGTGAGGAGGAGTGAGGAGGAGTGGACTTCTCTGCTGTCAGCCTGGGGTGTGTGTGTGTGTGTGTGGAGAGATGGGAGGTGAGGGGGTGGAGTCAGGAGGTGATGAGGGACAGAAGTTCTCTGACTTCATTCATCCTTAAGATGTAAAAAAAAAAAAAAAAACAACTGCACTGATCGAACTTTAAATGTTCATGTTTGACCTAAATTTGAAGATGTTTTTATTTTTTTATTTGTTTGTTTGTTTTTCCAGCTGTCTCTGAGACAATACTGTCTAACATGTAGATGTGCTGTATTTCAGGACAAACTGTCAGTAAATCAAAATTATTATTTAGTGTGTTTTTTATGGGGCTTTTTTTGTTTGTTTTATTGTCCAATGTTACATTAATTTCTATAGATTTTTGTTAATTTTTTTGGAAGTCAAACAAACAGATTCTGGTTTGGAGACAGACTTTTACCAAAAATATTTCAACATTTCATGGTCATTAATACAATATTGTGTCATATCATCTGTCACTTGCAATCTAGAGTATCATGTCTTGAATCTAGGTCACATTCTAGCTAACTCTAGTTCTATCTTAATAAATGATAAATATATGAATAATATATAATATTCTAATAATATGATAAAGTGAGACATATTTATAATCTTGTTGCCTTAAAAAGTGCAAAAACACACACATACATCGACATGTTTACATCGACATTAAATATATTTTTAAAGGTTTTTATACACGTTATACTCGTCGCTTTTTATAAAACACTGCCTCATACCTGTAATATAATTATTTCCAATTTTTTGATGCATTAATGTAATAGTTTAGAGAACATTACCTGTTTAGAAAACGCATTTTCTTTTTGTTTTTCTTTATGGCGTCACAAAGAAAACCGACGTCAGAACCGTTATAAATCAAACCGTATTATTTTTCTTTTATCAAATTATATTTAAATAAAAAACATAACATTTCGTGCCAGTCTTTTCTTTACTCATTGGATTTCTTTAATTCTATTTATTTTAGGATAATAAAATGTCTGACTTTAACTCTGTGGAACATTCTGGGCCTTTCGTTTTCGCGCCGTTGAAGCAGAGCAGAGTCCGACCGTAAATCTTCTCCGGCCTCTGTTTAAAAAACCCGTTTTATTTGTCATTTATATTACTTTAAAATATCGTTTCTATACAACATAAATATAAATAAAAATGGACATTAACGTTGGGATTATCACATAGATTCGACTGATTTATCGCCTGGGATTAATAATCGATCAGTTCATTTGTTTATCGCTTGACTCTTTGAAGAGATGCAATAATTCAAAGCGACTCAAAAAAAACCAAAAAAAAAAACCAAAAAAACAAAAAACAAAAAAACAAAACAAAACATTTTAACCGTGAAAATGAAAGTTAGTTTTGATATTTATTTTCACGTTCCGTGGTAAAGGTTGGTATTTACGTTCAAATAAATGAAAAAACAAATTAACGATAATTGAATTTCACTGCATCGTAAAAATTACTTAGATTTAACATATATATATTTATTTTCACGTTTTACATATTTTTTGGTCATTATATATTTTACTATTTTTTCTTTTAATAATGCTAAGTTTAAAAAAAATAAAGGCAACAATATTTACAAATAACCGCCGTAAAAAAACAGCAAGAAAAACAAAACCTCATCGACTTTACTGC